AAAAAAAAAAAAAAAAAAACCCACCTTAACATAGAGTTTTAGGCTTCATCTAAAGTTCTTTACTGAATCCTAGGAAGTTGTTGTTCCTACTTCCAAGAATCTAAATAGAAATAAGATCATGGATTCACTGATGTGGTTTTCTTACTTTTGGATGCAGAACAAGAAGAGATAGCTAAAAGTAAATCAGCAGGTGAGTTTCTGACATGGGAAGATCTTGCAAAAATGAAGTACACGTGGAAAGTAGCCATGGAAACTTTGAGGTTTTTTCCACCTGTCTTTGGGGGCTTTAGGACAGCTATAAAGGACATAGATTATGGTGGATACCTCATTCCTAGAGGGTGGCAGGTAAGCATATTTTGGCATTAGCTCTTGCATTGAACACTTGAATTTCTTGATTAGTTAACTCATAAGCTTATGGATATTCAGATTTTCTGGGTTACAAGCATGACACACATGGATGACAGCATATTTCCTGAGCCATCAAAGTTTGATCCCTCTAGATTTGAGAATCCGACTTCAATTCCACCATATTGCTTTGTACCATTTGGAGGAGGACCTCGAATATGTCCAGGATATGATTTTGCAAAGATTGAAACCTTAGTTGCAATTCACTATCTGGTTACCAGGTTTAATTGGAAGTTGTTATGTTCAGACAATTTTTTCAGTAGGGATCCTACGCCCGTGCCAACTAAAGGGTTGCCCATTCAACTCAGTTCCAGATTTCAGCAGGGATCCTATGCCAGTGCCAGCTAAAGGATTGCCTATTCAAACTACTGTTGAAGTCTGATCTTAGGTTATTTTGGAACTTCTCTACTTGCTTCAAAGAAACTTTCCAGTGTACTGTTGTTGGCCAAATGTCATAAATTTACACTTTATCATCCTAGCACATGCCGGCATCAGATTAATGGCTTGCACTGAACATTGAAACTTCTGTGTGCACACAGAGAAGATGTTGGCCAAATATCGTAAATTTACATTTTATCATCCTAGCACATGCCAGCATCGGATTAATGGCTTCCACTGAACATTGAAACTTCTCTGTGTGCACAGAGAAGAAAACTTTCTCCTCAATGGGAGATGAGAGATACCACCTTGTCCAAGCAGCACCTCGAGAGGCTGCGAGGCAAAGAATGTCATAACTCAAATTTTTAATAGGATTTTATTTTTATTTTAACTAATATATTGTTATCTTTGCTTCTATTGATAGGTTTATGGGTAAAAAAAAGGGATTTCGCGAAGAGGAGGGCAAAGAAAACGAGAAAAAGGACTCAATTGAGGAAATTAAAAGTTGGAGGGGTGAAGTTCATCAAAATGAATTTACAAACCCAAACCCAAAACCCATCAAACCCAAGCCCAAAATCCCAATACCCATTTAACTCAAACCCAAACCCAAAAACCATCAAAGACCAACCCTAGCCTTCTCTCTCTTCCAAAACCGGCAACATGCCAAGAAGAAGGAAGAGGGCTGCAGAGCAGAAAAACAGAAAAGGGGAAAGATCTCCTGCCCTGCGCGCCTGCACCGAGCCCGCGCCCAGATCCCCTTTGCTCTGCGCCGTTGACCTTGCTTGCTGCACCGAGCACGCGACCCTGCATCAGCCTGCGTCCCTGCACAGGCCCTGCACCAGCCCTGCACTTTCCTCTTTGCGCCCCTGCGCCTCAAAACCCCTCTGCCCTGCGCGCCTGCAGCAACCTCGCGCCCTGCATCGGCCTTGCGTCACGTCCCCTGTTGGCTGCAATCCCCTGCACCAGCCCGGCCCGTGCCTGCTCAAGAAACAAACAAAAAGGGGTAGGATTGGAATGCTAAAAAAAAGGGATCTCTGCCATTTTGCTTGGGTATAAATAGAGGGTATTAGGTTAGCAGAGGGGGGTCTTTTTGTTTGGTGGTTCTGGTGGTGGATCTCTTGGTCTGAGTTTGGGGTGTTGCTTGAGAACAGCGGGAGG